GCGAGGAGTTGGTCGCTCGAGCGTGCTCTTGGTTGCAGACCTGAAGGTTTGAGTTGTTGGCTCGAGCGAGCATTCTTTTCGCTCGAGCGCACTTTTGAGTTTTTGGCTCGAGCGAGAGCTTCTTGGCTCGAGCGAGAGTTTTCGTGGTCTGGCGCTCGAGCGACCAAGGCTTCGCTCGAGCGAGCGTGTTTTATATCAGCGGACAGTAGCGTTTTTGAACATCACTTTTTCACTCCCTTTTCTTTCAAACCCTAGATCCGAGACTCTCTCTCTCTACACTTATATTCTCTCTAAGAATTGATCTCCCTAGAGTGTGAATCTAGCCTAGAGCCTTTGTTAAAAAGATAGAGGGCGTTGAGGGCTTTGATTTAATCTGAAAAAGTTTGGATTTGGAGCACGTTGATCTTCGAGTCTTCATCTCCTTTTTTGCTCAAACTTCGAGGTAGGGATATCCTACTCCTCTCTATGGATTTGTCTTTAAATTTTAGTATTTTGAGATGTTGGGGTTGGTTTGGTAATTTTGTGAAAGTTGGGCTTTTGTGTAATTTTACAAAAGTGGGGTTTATTCATAATAAACCTAGATGCATGCTTGGCATAGAAAAATGGATAAATGTTGAATCATTGATGAAAATGGGACCTAAGGGTTGAAATGGTAATTATGGATAATGACCTAATTACATTGTTTGATTAATTGGATAATTAATTGTGAGAAATGAGGAAATGAAATGTTGATTGAATATCCATTGTGCATTTATTTCTGTTTAGAATAACTGCTTTGGGCTATCGGTGGAGGATAGTCGTGATTGTTGTAGACAATGCATGATGATTAGGCAAACGGAAACTAATCAATGGAATGTGTCATAGAATTTGACGGTTGATAGAATACATTAATTGTATGTATTGTGTGATTGTATATAGAACCAATGTGTTTGTGTACGTTATGTGTAGAGGAGGAGATGGGGATGTACTCCGCGGTTTAGGAAAGATGGGGGATGTACCTCTAAACCGGATAGTGTTGGGAGAAGATAGGGGATGAACTCCGTAGATACAGCTCATATGCTTGTCTAGAGAAGTGAAGATAGAGCTCATATGCTTATCTTTGTGAAATGTGGATATAGCTTATATGCTTATCTGTGGATATCGTTGTATTACATATCTGTTGTAGAATGTGGATATAGCTTATATGCTTATCTGTGGATATTGTTGTTATACATATCTGTTGTAGAATGTGGATATAGCTTATATGCTTATCTGTGGATATTGTTGTTATATATATCTGTTGAGAATGTGGGTAGTGCTTATATGCCTATCTGTTGAAAAAAGGGAAAATGAAAAGTAATTGGACTCATAAGTCGTATTTATGTGATTGTATCAGTTTTGGCCATCTATCAATTGCTAATCTTTAGTCATTGTCATGGCTGGTTTAGTATATTTCTACTGGGCTGTGGGCTCACCTATATGGGAATATCATTTTCAGGTACAGGAAGCATGCCACCTCCAAGGACATAGCTTGGGAGGCTAGAGTGGACATACTTTTGTCGTATTACTTTGTGATGTTTTACATGTAAATTCAAGCCAAGGGCTTAATGTGTATGAGTTAGTACTCTTTTTGTTGTAACCAAGTGTTAACTTGGAAAGCTGTAAGCCCGTAGGGCATTTTGCTTTTGTTGTTAACATGTAATACTTATGTAATGAAACTCTCATTAATGAAAGAATGTGAAACTTTTGTATATCAATGCATGTCTTATTTAATGGGTTTATCGTTATTATTTTGAGGGCGTTACATATTCCTTCCTCTGTCTCCGCAGCCCCCATTAGAAAAGCCCTTTGAAGAGAATGGGTTGGTATATACTATATACTGTGTTTTCTAACCCTTTACCTTAACACCCTACTTGCATATGTGGTACAGTTTTTGCATCTCTATGCTCCGTATTTTTTGAAAAATTAATTAAATTTTATTAAAGTATTACATGATATTATTTACATATTATTTCAAAATATGAAAAATTATAATATAATTCAAATGGGTTATTTTTTATTTTTTAGTTATTTAACATAGGTGAGCTAGTATGCATGTTAGACTCATAAATTTTTTTGTTACACAATTAGTCTAGAGCATTACGTAAACAATGTCACTCTCACATTGTGCTGTGAGATTATTAAATAAGTAATATTTCTTTAGAATATGTTTGAATCATAAATTTAGATAAAGGAAATAGTAAAAAAATATAAATTAAATATTTTACCATTTTCTCTTGTTCACATTTTTATCTAAATTTATGATCAAACACAACATTAATGACCTTGATATTATATGCCCTTTTGTAAGTTATTTATTTATTACCAAAAGTGACATTTTTGTAAAGGAAGAGGGTGAGGTGAGGGATCCAGTTGAGGAAACTGCCCCATTCCGGACCCATCTCAGTGATATGGGGTTGTGATTGTGAGCTCATGTTGGACTTATCTCGTTAATTTAAATTGTATATTTTGTAAAATTTATCAAATAGATCACTCATAAAAAAAATAAATAAAAATTGAATACTAATAGTTACTTGGACCATTCATAATCTTTGCACTTGCATTTCCAGAAATAAACTCCTAAACTCATTTGCAGCTGTTCCTCCTTTTCTTGTTTTTCATTTTCTGTTGAAAGTGGAATATTGTTTTGCAATAAAAACTAAAGATTTTTTTTTTTTTTTTACCTTAGTTGCTCGAGGTTCATGGTTTATCTGGTTGTTTCTTTGTATTGTTTATTTTATTTGACTTCTTTAGTTTTATTTTTCTGCTCATAGTGCTGTTTAAAATGCAAGTAGTTTCTACTCTAAGAGTCAACCCGGAATTCAGTTTGTTATTCTTCAGTAATGATGCTCAGGTAACCTTGATGCTATTATATATTAATCTCAAAGAGGTTTATTTGATATGAGTTCGACTGATCCACAAATTGAGCCATCTATGAGCCAACAATTGGAAGAAAATATAATGCTTCGTGATGAAGAAGTTGGTTGGGTGAGGGAAGCCGCAGAAGGGGAAGCAGTTGATGTTCAAATAGGTTGATATTTAATCAACATCAGTAATTCACTTAAGGCCAAGGTTGTAGTTAATCATCAGTTTCTTAATTTACTTTGTCTTTGTAATTGTATTAGTTCAATTAATGTCATATTATAGTTGATGACAAACCATTATCTATGTTTCTAATTAATGTTATATTGCTTGCAGATTATTATGGGAAGGAAGAGGAAACCTGATCAACCCCGGCGCATGATGTCCGATGTGGTACGTAAGAGGACATCAGCGGCACCACCATCAGAGGAGGCATCACATCGACCACCATCAGAAGGGCCATTAGTGCCACCATTAGAGGAGGCATCACAGCGAGCACCATTAGTGCCACTGCATCGACCACCATTAGTGGCACCACAGTAGCTATCATCTACTCAGCCACCACGCCTACCATTGGTGGGTCCACCATCAGTGGCACCACCATTAGAGGAGGCATCACAGCGAGCACCATCAGAGGGGCCATTAGTGCCACCGCATCGACCCCCATTAGTGGCACCACACTAGCTATCATCTACTCAGCCTCTAGGCCTACCATCGGTGCGTCCACCATAAGTGGCACCGTAGCAGCTATCATCCCGACTAGAGTCATCGGCTTATGAGCCATCCGTAGGTATATAAATTTGCTTTGATTTGTATGAAAATTATTTAAATATATATTTATTTGTTCTCATTACATATAACTTGTTTATTTTCATTGTATTTTTCAGACCCTTCGACTTCTTCACAGCCTCCCTCAAGTATAAGAAATTGATTTGTATTGACATTATTTAAATTTGCATTTGTTTATTATCATTGCATATTGTTTATTCTTATTGTATCTCACAGGTCATGTTAGTTCTTCATCAACCTCGAGTAGGCGTGGTAGAGGATGCGCCAAGGGCATTAGGGAGTGGGGTACCGGTACCAAATTGGACATACAATTTGATGAAAATTACTGTCCAATAGGGGATAACGTGTCTAAGTTAACTACTCAACTTGGCATTATTGTGCGAAATGGTAACATTGTTCCTCTTACTTTTCTTGACTGGAACACAGTACCTGATGATATTCTTGATGCTATTTGGAAGGATGTGAAGGTAAAAGTATATTTTTGTCCAAAAATTTAAATTCCAAAATTGTGTTATTATTATTTAAACCTTGAAATTGTGTTTTATAGGACAATTTGAATATATGTCCAGAGGAGTACAAGCCAATCTGCATGAAAAACTATAACAACATATGGAAGGATCACAAGAATAAGATTACGTGTAAGTATTTCAAGCCTAGAAATGAAGATCCTAATCTGAAGGATGATGTTCCTTTGCACATTGTGCCAAGCTAGTGGGATGAACTTGTGGAGTATTGGCGTACTTCCGATGCTGAGGTATACAAATAAGTTATATGTATGATATGTAAACATAAAAATCATATTTATATACTTACATTTGTTGAACCTATTATAGAAAATTGCAACTAGGAACGCTAAAAATCGGCGAGCTCACGGCATAGCTCATACCACAGGGCGTACTACTTTCGCTCAGATACGTCATGAGGTTTATATTTTACTGTTTTATTTTTGTATATAAATAAACATTGTATATTTACAAATTATTTGGATTCTAATTTTCATATTTCTAAAAAAATGTAGATGACCAATAAGGGGGAGTCTACTGATAAGATGAATGTTTGGCTTATGACACGTAGAGTAGATGACCCAGAGGTTATCCAGACCTTGGTAGTTTCCAAACACCTTTGATTGTATTTAAAGTTTATTTTTTATTTTTTGTGTTAATCATCTTAATTTGGCATATACTTGTATTTCTTATTCAATACAGGGTGAGTTTAATGGCCAACTCTCTATGCGACCTGAGGATTGTCGGACTTTGGAGGCTAGGAATGCCATTTTCCATGAGTTGATAGGTCATGACAATCATGGATATTGTCGTACATACAGGAGAACTATGCCTCGGAGAGCAGTGTATAAAGATGGTGCAGGGCCATCACAGTCAGCACCTCAACCATCGACTATTGTTCAGATCACCCAGCAGGTTCGTGCGGAGTTAAGGGATAAGTTGAGGGAGGAGCTGAGGGAGGAGATGAGAGCAGAGTTCTCTACACATTTACAGCAGCTGAGAGCTGAGATGATGGCCTTTGTGTCACAGGGGGCAAGTGTGGATCCTAACAGACAGGCTCGATATAAATTAAATTGTTTGATAGTTAAATTGTCACATAACATTATGTATAAAATTTGAATATGATTAACACATTATGCATTGACTATCATAGGCTCCTGATGCATCAAGTGGCCACCGGGCATTTAGGGAATCTACAGAAGACGAGAATCCATATACACCACCACCAGAAGATCAGGTATAAAATGTAACTTTACATTCTAAGCTAAAATGTATATTTGCATTCTTTGCATTCTAAGCTAATAGAGTTATGGGAGAAGACGGGACTCAAATTGGGTTCCCGGATTAGGAGTTAGAGATGGATTTCACTCTAGGCAAACTATTTCTTTAAAAAACTTGAATTCGAGGTGTTAACGCCCCAAAATCACCAAAAGGGGTTGGATTGGCACGAAACTTGGCACACACGACCACCTAGGCACGAAAGACTTGTGGGAGAAGACGGGACTCCAATCGGGTTCCCGGATTAGGAGTTAGAGACGGATTTCACTTTAAGTAAACTAGTTCTTTAAGAAACTTGAATTCGAAGTGTTAACGTCCCAAAATCACCAAAAGGGATCGGTTTAGCTCGGAACTTGGCACACACGACCGCCTAGGCATGAGAGACTTGTGGGAGAAGATGGAACTCCAATCGGGTTCCCGGTTTGGGAGTTAGAGCCGTATTTCAGTTTAGGCAAACTAGTTCCTTAAGAAACTTAAATTCGAGGTGTTGACACCCCAAAATCACCAAATGGGGTCGGATTGGCACGAAACTTGGCACACACGACCGCCTAGGCACGAGAGACTTGTGAGAGAAGACGGGACTCCAATCGGGTTCCCGGATTAGGAGTTAGAGACGAATTTCACTCTAGGCAAACTAGTTCTTTAAGAAACTTGAATTCGAGGTGTTAACGCCTCAAAATCACCAAAAGGGGTTGGTTTAGCACGGAACTTGGCACACATGACCGCCTAGGCATAAGAGACTTGTGAGAGAAGATAGAACTCTAATCGGGTTCCCGGTTTGGGAGTTAGAGCCGTATTTCGGTTTAGGCAAACTAGTTCCTTAAGAAACTTAAATTCAAGGTGTTGACGCTCCAAAATCACCCAACGGGGTCAGATTGGCACGAAACTTGGCACACACGACCATCTAGGCACGAGAGACTTGTGGGAGAAGATGGGACTCCAATCAGGTTCCCGGATTAGGAGTTAGAGACGGATTTCACTCTAGGCAAACTAGTTCTTTAAGAAACTTGAATTCGAAGTGTTAACGTCCCAAAATCGCCAAAAGGGGTCGGTTTAGCACGGAACTTGGCACACACGACCGCCTAGGCATGAGAGACTTGTGGAAGAAGACGGAACTCCAATCGGGTTCCCGGTTTGGGAGTTAGAGCCGTATTCGGTTTAGGCAAACTAGTTCCTTAAAAAACTTAAATTCGAGGTGTTGGCGCCCCAAAATCACCAAACGGGGTCGGATTGGCACAAAACTTGGCACAAACGACCGCCTAGGTACGAGAGACTTGTGGGAGAAGATGGGACTCCAATCGGGTTCCCGGTTTGGGAGTTAGAGCCATATTTCGGTTTAGGCAAACTAGTTCCTTAAGAAACTTGAATTCGAGGTGTTGACGGCCCAAAATCACCAAACGGGGTCGGATTGATACGAAACTTGGCACACACGACCGCCTAGGCATGAGAGACTTGTGGGAGAAGATGGGACTCGAATCGGGTTCCCGGTTTGGGAGTTAGAGCCATATTTCAGTTTTGGCAAACTAGTTCCTTAAGAAACTTAAATTCGAGGTGTTGACGCCCCAAAATCACCAAACGGGGTCGGATTGGCACGAAACTTGGCACACATGACCGCCTAGGCACGAGAGACTTGTGGGAGAAGACGGGACTCCAATCGGTTTCCCGGTTTGGGAGTTAGAGCCGTATTTCGGTCTAGGCAAACTAGTTCCGTAAGAAACTTGAATTCGAGGTGTTGACGCTCCAAAGTCACCAAAAGGGGTCGGTTTAGCACGAAACTTGGCACACATGATCGCCTAGGCATGAGAGACTTGTGGGAGAAGACGAGACTCGAATCGGGTTTCCGGTTTGGGAGTTAGGGTCAGATTTCTATCTAGCAAAAATTATTTACTTAACTATCTTTGTAATTATATAGTAATTAATTTTTTATGTTTTTTTGTAATTAAAATATTAACACATAATTATATTGTCATTAATTATTTTTATTTTTTATTTTCAGATATTTCCTGAGTAGCAGTTTGCTTCTTGTGGAATGCAGCCGTGTGAAGATTGCGATGAACTTTTGGTTTTTTAACCCACGGAAGAATTATGAAGAAAAATTTTGTTTTTGATTTACGTTATTTAGATTTGTGAACAACATTATGTATGTATTATGCAAAATTATGTGGTTGGATAATTTTGATGATGTGTTGTTATGGATGGAAGAGTACTTTAATTATGGATGGAATTTTATTTATATACAGGAATTTTTATATTATTATATAATTATCGATTTTTTTTAGCTATTTTTATTTAATACAGGTAATTTGCATATTTTTAATAATTTTATTGCAGCATTTTTGTTAGAACCAGGTTTTTGCGACGGTAGCGTAGCCGTCACCAATGATATTGGCAATATTAACAAAAGGCCTTTAGCGACGGTATTTTCACCGTCGCAAATAATATTTTTAGAGATGGCACATTTTTCTGTCGCAAATAAGAGTATTAACGACGGTATTAAACCCGTCGCAAATAACCATTTTAGCGACGGTATTTTTACCGTCTCAAATAAACCCTTTTGCGACGGTATTTTACCGTCGCAAATAACCATATTAGCGACGGTATTTTAGTGCCGTCTCAAAAACTTCAGATTTTTACACATTAATTGCGACAGTATTTTACCGTCGCTAAAAGGCATTTTTGCCGTCGCCAATATTTTGCGACGGCGTCTTACTGTCGCTAAAGACCTTTAGCTACCCCTTTTTTTGCGACCCCCCTATTACCGTCGCTAAAAGCTATTTACCATCGCAAAAAAGCTTTTGAGACAGCTTTTTGGGTATTGGCGACGGTATTTTACCGTCGCAAAAAAGTGAATTTTTTGTAGTGATATTTCAAAGTTTTGAATAGTTTAAAACATTTTTAAAAATTTAAAATTCAAAAAATTAATTTTTAACTAATTTTCCAAATCACTCCTCACTCTTATACATCACATTCAAACAATACACAACTTCAAAACATGAAATGATCAATTTTTTTGAGCTATATAAGAACTATTTTGTCATTTAATATAAATAAAAATAAAAAAAATGCCCAAATAACCGAACCTCAATATGTCTGATTGCATAAATACATGAAAATAGTACTACTATAGTCTCAACCATTGCTCTGCAGTTACAAATTCCACCTTCAAATATGGTTTTATTGCCTCGTGATTCAAAGACTTTGACCAAGGCACTCTGTTTCTTCTATCTGCTCCTCTCCCTCTGTAGTGGTATTCTCCAAACATTACAGTCCTATAATTGCAAACTCGAATTATATTTCAAAGTTTTGAATAGTTTAAAACATTTCCGTTTTTCATTTTATGTTTTCTTTAACACGAAAAGATTCATACTTTTGCCTGGATGGTTGATTCCAGTCACTCCACGCGAATGGAGTTTGAGAGGATAATTTATATCTAAATTGGGCCGAGCTGGGTAAATAGGCCGTTCTTTGGGCCACAGTAAGAAGGGCTAGATAAAAGGGGCTTGTGGTTAGCCCGGTCCCAGTAAGCCTTATTGTTATCCCGGTCTAGAGGAGCCTTGCAGTTACGCAGGTCCAAGAGAGCTTACGGTTAGCTCGGTCGCCGCACACGAAGTTATCCCGGTCATAACCTGTTATGGTTAGCCCGGTCGTAACCATGCTATTGGTTAGCCCGGTCAGAACATACTATGGTTAGCACTGGAGAAACCGGGGTAAGGGCAATGAATGGAAGAGCCGAGCTAAAGTTAGCTCGGTCTAGTCTGCGGCTTAGCATAACCATGCTTACCTCGGTCGTATTGGAGTCCGACCATGGTAAAGCCATCTCACTTGGTTTAAGCAGTGAGGAGGGTGTTGAAGGATAAGTATTATCTTTCAGGAATGTGATTCCTAGGAGGACTCTACATGGAGGAGTAAGAGTCCTACTTAGATTATGCCACGCGGAACCTATAAAAGCTCATAACATCACCTATGGAGAGGTAACACAACTTTGATTCCTGAATACACAGAGCTTTTTGTCTATTTGTCTATTATTTTGATTTAGGTATCGGAGAGGTATCTGTAGACACCCCATTTTTGACCGACCTTAGACTCAGACGTCACCAGTTAAGCGCTCGGTGATGTTGCATATTGCGCTCGTTCTGAGGTTTCAGAGTCTCGGCTGCGAGCCTTGCCTCTGGACTTCGGGGCACTTTTGTGCCTTGCCTCGGTTTGCAAACCAGGTCCTATTTTCTCTGTTTTCTCTTCCCGAAGGGAGGGAGAGGTCTCATAGATCATCTCTTAGTGGCCGTAGGCTACGTTTCGTGGTCGTAGGCCAATTTTCCCGTTTGGAGCCCGGTTTCCGGTTTTTAGAGCTGTCGGCCGTGTGCCTCGCTTCGGGACCGCTTAACTACCTCTGTTTGCTCCGATTTTTGGCACACACCTTATTTCCTCCCTTTAGAGAGACACTGTGGCCCTGGAGACCACCTTCGTGGTCATACGCCACTTCCGGTGCCTAACAGCCTGTTTTCAGGGCCTCGAACCGCGCGTTTTGGCACCTGAACCTTCGTTTTGCATCCGTTTTGGTCTATTTTTGGTAGGGACCCTATTTTCATTGTTAGGGAGGTGGTAGGATGGTGGCTGGCCACCTATTCCCCTGAAAAGCCAGTTTTCTCATTTTCTCTCTCCAAAAGTCAATTTTTCTGACAGAAATCTGGTTTTTCCT